TTCAGAGAAGCTCTCAGCCCTGAAACATGATTGGAAAAAAAATCTCCCTACCCTCTATGGCGAAAAAGTCATTATCAAGCTGTATGGGACTAGAGGCAGGAGTAGGATGTCAAACTCGCATATCTCTTTATGCAGTGTGCATCAGTGCAATATCATACTCCCAGCTGGCCGCCCAGATTACCTTACTCGGGCTGGAGGGCCTGTGAGAGCACTGTGTGCCTCCACTGGCCTTTTCCATTAGAACTTCACAGCGCTGATAGCTGGGTCTGCTCTGGGCAGAGTGCTATGATGGAAGCCCTGGTATAGACAAGGCACTTGTAGCTGTCAGCGTTCTTCTGTTCTGCCATCCATCCTGCTCAGAGAAAACCTCTTACTAACTGTACTGTGATGGAGGTTTCAGAGCAAGAGATGACATTTTTTTTCAGTAGTCTCCCCAGCCCTTGAACTGTGCTGAAGCTCAAGCAGTGGCAAAATGCTGCTTGGGGATGTCTGTGGTTTTGCTTCTTTGATGAACAGTCAGGATTTGTCCCCCTGCCTGCACAAATGCAGAAATCATTTGATTTTGTCATTTATCTCAATATAGTTTTCCAGTCATTCTGGAAATTACACTGCTGAAGGAACTAAAGGTGCAAGTCCAGACCAACATTCAAATCCTCACCAACCAATTGACTTTATGGGACTGTAAACTACTGTGGGCAAAGCAGCAATAAAGTGGACAGACAGGCTCTGCCTCTGGGAAAGTTTGCAGTTTCCTGTATATTTCTACTCCTGCCTCAGCTCAGCAGAGGAAGGTAGGGGCAAATTAGCACTCATCCTGCTCTTGCCTCCCACACCTTTTGCCTCCTGCGTCACAAAACCTACTTCAGCTGTCAGGGAAAGAGGTCAGAAACGTAACACAGTGCACTGTGTTATGTGCACTGGAGGAGCAGAGCAGGCACATGGAGCAGGCAGCAGCTCCACCGCACAGAGATGCACAGTGGCACTGAACCACTCTCTGCACAGCAGTACCCTGACACTGCTCAACTGTTGCCTGCTCCCCGCTTCCCCACCTGACACCAGCCCTGCGATGATCAGCCTCTGTTTTGAGGTCAGCCCTCAGCCACTGCATCATGTCACATCTGCGTATTTCTCTTAAAGCCTCAGATATCGCTACGCTGAAACACTGAGATTCAGGCAGGGAAGCTCCCCATGCCTTTGGCTACTTTTCTAGGGACACCTGCTACTTCAGGCAAAGCCAGGAACTCCGCTACTGCCCCGTGCAGTGTTCTCTGCTGCAGGCAAATGCATTGTTAAAACTACTCTGCTGTATCATTAGAGGTCAGCTCGGACTGGAACAGGTAATAAAAGATTCATAGTGGCACATGAGGGGATGCACTAAATATCCAACCACAACTTGAAGTCATGCAAAGCTTGATTAGGTTTAGGACTCGGTTAAAAACTCACAGTTCAGTTGGTGTTCCACAGAAAAGCTTGCAATCAGCCATACTACTTCGGCACCAGCAATTCAGGCTACAAGTTATGCCTTGTAGCAAGGAGTATCTTAATAGGCATAGATGCTCCCACGCTCAGGCCAGTAATCAAAAATTAATCCCTTTCCCTGATTCCGTTAGGAACCAATACCAGCTATTACTGAGAAGACATAAGAAATAATGCTGGAGGCACTTTCAAGATAACACATTCCCAGGGTTGTGACTTTCCATCCTTTGGTATTTTATGACTGGCTAAATCTTCATTTTATCAATTTTCTAACCCAGTAAGGCAGGTAGTGGGACTTGCTGTAGTCTGTATATATTTAAATATTCCATTCAAACTGTCATTAATCTTATTTTCTGTCTAAATATCAAATCTTAGTAATCCTACTAAAGTCCAGTCTCAAGGTGCTGTGACAGTGAGTTCCTCAGTCTATTTACATGTGAACAATTGTCACTCACTACTGAAGGAGCTGTCAGAAATTCAATACAGGCATTCTCACAGTATTTTCAGTTTGATTATAAAGGTATCATCATCCTTCCCCATTTTACTCCAGCTTATGACTCTAACAAAAACAAAACCAACACAGGCAAGTTTCTTCTAGCTGCTGAATTCCATCTGCTTTTCCATCCTTGAAACAGCCTTTGACAAAGAATTTAAATCAGATCCCTTTTTTCTGTTGAGCTTAAAATTTGAAGTTTGGCTACATTCTCAGACTGGATTTGATTTTTAGCCATTATTTCTACCAGGACAGCACATCTAATCTCAGACTTGGTGCCACTGTACTCAAACCAGCTGCTCCAGCTTTGATACAGAAGAAGCTGATAACATTAGCAGAAAAACTTAATGATGTTTGACATATCAAATGACTTCATCCTGCCTTTAATCTCTGTGGCCAGCCAGTCCCACCAGGCAAGCAATGGTCTCAGCAGGCACGACACAGACTCGGTGTGAAGGACAGAAATCTTCCAACACAGCCCCATAGCTGAGCTTTAGGGCACGCTATCTGAACCACACAAAGTGATTATCATGATGTAAAGAGCTATGCTCTCTGCACATGGGAAGAAGGCTTCCTCTCCCAATTTGAGTCTAAAGCAAAAGAGCCATCCTTGAGCGCTCCCAAACCACTCACCTTGCAGCATCTGCAAAAAGCTGATCCAGACGTGCCCGCAGCTGGACAAAGCCACCACACCTGGAGAGCCTTGGAGGCAAAGGTCCCCAATAGCTGAGGGGCAGCAGGGCTGGTCCATTGACACGTGCTGCTGCAACGACTTGGCTCAGTGCATATGGTGTCTTGCACTTTGCTTTACAGCCATCCATCTGTCTTGTATTTAGAGAACCAGCTCATTTCTTCTACCTGCAGTCAAACTGCCCTTCTCCTTTACAAAAGGCTCTATGGAGCCTTGATACCTGACATATTCCCAGTTCAAGTGGAAAGAAAAAATTACTCATTTTCACCTTCTATCTTTTTGTACCAGCTCAGGGACAATTTCCCTTCACTAGGAGGCTGCAAACAGAGCAAGAACTGCTTTGGGGGCTGAAAAACCCTGAAGCTTAATTTTTCCACCCCTTTGATCATTTCTGGCTTCCCACACAAATGGCTTTTCCACGTATGAGGTACCTGCACTGACGCAACCACAGAGATGCCAGAGAAAAAGTAGAAAGAGCAAAGCAACACCGCTGCCCACACAGGGAAACAAAAGCTGTGAGGAACTAGAAGGCATCTTTTTACTTTTCTGGTTTAGCTAGCCATAAGGGAAAGAAGCAAAATGCCCTTCTTAATGGCTCCTGCCAGTTATTTACACAGCCTATCAAATTCCACGGCCCAAATGGAGAACAAGTCTCTCACTCTACCAGAAATCCTTTGCATTTCATCCGGTTATGTACTGGCACTGGAAATTGCCAAATCTTGTCAACCAAATGCAATAGCACTGTTGTCTACATAAACACGTTTAACGCCTCTTAACATGCAAAACACGCAAACAAACGATAAACACGGCTCCTGAGTCTTCACAATTCGGCCAGTGTCTGACTGCCAGAGATGGCACCTGGAGTTGGGGAAATTCAGTAACCAGGTAGTTCCCGGGAGTGAGCACGATTCCTACACGGGACTCACTAAGCATTATTAGTTCTAGATACTGTTTTATAGCCTGGAAAAGTCTGAAGGGGAAAACTGTGTACGTCTCATTTAAGCAACAGAAGTGGAGCGGGTGGGCGCAGGATGGAACCGAGCAGGGAAAGCAGAATGCATGGCCGGAGTTATCTGCATCGCTCTGGAGCCCAGAGGGACTGGAACGAGGAGGGCGATAACACCACCACCGCAACAGTACAAGTAACGCTTTCTCCCTGCTTCGGTGGCATTCTGGTGGTATGGGCTGAGGAAGGATCCGCGCCCAGCCCTGCGCCAGGACCCTCTTGCGACCCAAGCGGGACGCTACCCTAGCCGCGCGTCCAAGCGCCGCCGGGCTCAGCGAGCAAAGGCCCTCAGAGCGATCTCCGCGAGTGTGTTACCAGGCTGAAGCCGAAAACGAGAAGGAAATAAAAGGCCTCTCCCCCGGCCGGGAAGGGACCAACCAAAGACTGCCAGGGCTGGGCCGCTGCAGCTCCCATCCCTGCTGGGGCTGCTGCCGAGAGGGAGGCGGAGAACCTCACCCTCCCTCTGGGGGCAGGCGGCGCCGGCGGTCCGCACGGCGGGGGTGGCGGGGCGGGGAGCACGGCGGCGGGGGGGCGGGCGCGGCGGCGGCGCTAGGGCCGCGCGTGGCGCGGGCCCGGAGGTGGGGTAGCTGCCGCCGCCCCGCTCGCCGCCAGTCGCGGGGAGACCGCTCCGAAGTGAGGAGGAGGCGCCGCCGCCGCCCGAAGTTTGGCCGCGCCGCCGGAGACCTCCGTGCCGCAGCCCCGGACAGGGGCGCGAACCGCCGCTCTCCCCGCGCCTCATGCCGCTGCCGCCGGCGCCCCGAGCGGGGCCACCCTCGCCCTGAGCGGCTGTGGTTGCGGGCGGGGAGCACCTGCGCCGTTCCCGCTTCCGCGGCGATGAGCTGCTCGCCCGCATACCGTCCGCCGCCTCGCCGTGCGCCGAAGGAGAGCGGCAGCCCGCCCGCCCAGACGCCCGCCTGCACCGCCGCGCACTGCCCGCCGCTCTCGCACCGCCAAACTTCGACGCCGACAAGTGCCTAGGGACGGCGGCGGCCCCCGCTGAGACCCTGCGCCCCTCCGGCAACTTTTCCCGGGGGAAGCAGCTCCCTCGCTCGACCCGCGGCGTCTCATGCCGCCGCCGCCGAGGGACCCCCAGCGCGTCCCGGCTCCGCGCGGTGAGTACCGCCCGCAACTCCGCGTACCCCGGGACGGGACGAGTGGGGCCGCGCGGTGCGGAGCGGGGGATACGCGTGTGCGGAGCGCGTGAGGGTACCGTTCTCCCTCGCGGAGGCGCGGACCGAGGGCGGATTGGCGCGGGCCGCGCGCCCCCTGCCGCCCGCGCGTAGCGCGGCGCGGCCGGGCCCGGGCGGGGCAGTACCTGCGCGGCTGTCTCCTCCGCCGGAGATGGAACTCTAGCCGGGCCGCGGCGCGCAGCCGGTGGAAGAGCAGTGAAGTGCGAGGAGAGGGCGTTCCTCACGGCCGCTCCCGCCCCGCAGCGCGGATTTTTCCGCGGGGGAGGAGCGAGGAAGATCCAAAGTCCCATTTGACAGCGGGCGGGGTGGTGGGAACAGCCCCGCCGGCCGAGGAGCAGCGGTCAGGTCGTTGGTACTCAACCTGGAAACAGTTCCCTCGTTGCATCGGAAATTGCGGGCGGCTTTACTAGACGCTGACACGCACACCCCACATAACCCGAACCCCTAAGGAAACCCCACGCGGTGGGGAGCAGCGCAGATCGGCCAAACCTGATAAAACTGATGCTTTTGTATTCTCAAACTTGGTGCATGTGCGTTTTGGACTTCTGCTGAATATACTTTTGTTGTTCTGCAATCAACTTTTCACTATTCCGGATCGGATGTGCTAGGAGCCAGTCTCACTTCTGCAGAGTTGTTAGCAGAGACAGTGAGTGAAACAAACGGTGGAAATGCTTTTAAAGAGGGAATAAATCACTCTCTTGCCTAAGGATGATGCGGTTGAGGTTGAGAAGCTGTGGCCTGGGCAGCCCGTCGAGGGGAAGAAAACCACAGTAGAACTTTCCCTGGCTTGGTTTTTTTTTTGGTGTGTGAGGGTTTTGTTTTGTTGTGTTTTTTTTTAATTGGACAAAAAACAAAGGTTGATTTCTGGCATATTTCTGGAGCTTTAAAGGATGTTTACCAGAGAGTTTCCAGCATTTACTGGGAATATCCTCATAGAGTCCTGGACTTTGCCATCAACCGTCAGCCCTGTGACACTGATGAGAAGTGGCCCCAACTTTCTAGCTACGTATGTAAAACCTGGCAATAGCACAGAACAAATTCAGGGTCTGGTAGGCATTCATCTTCATTGAGTTCTGAGGCTAAGAACTTGCAGTTAGAAAGTCGTCAGCTCGCACCACAACTTGAAAGCTTAGTAGTCCTGTACACTGGATATATTGCCTGAGGAACAGGTATTACTGTAATGAGGGAGAAAAGTAATGACCAAAAAACCTGCGGCTGCCCCAGCTGCTAACTTGCATTCTGAGTGGAAGAACTGGCAGAACAGATTGATGCTAGGTACAGAGCTATTTAAGGCAATAAACCACAATTATAAAGAGTCTAGAGGAAAAACATAAAGCAGCTCTGTACAAAGGCTCTAAAATTTAAATTGCTGAAGTGCTTTTACTCCATACGCTGACAGCTGATGCTAGCCGGCAAGTAATGGCAGCAGTAGCATGAGGTGTCATTCAGCAAAGAATGATGTGGGAAAACCAGAAATATTTTAAGTGTAGTGCCGAATCCCAGTATTTTGGTAGCAGAATGCTATATTTTATTTTCTTCAGCCGATAGGTATCGACATTTTACGTTCCTCCTGAGCCAAAGAAATCTTTTTTTGCTAAATAATTAAGTAAGCTAGATAAAAATAGAACCTAAACTTTGTTCAGAGTCCAAAGGCACCACAGAAATTGTTTGTAATATACTGTATTTCATACAAGTATTGACAGAAAGCATATAGAAAATTATTGAATATAGGTTCACTTCTTGTTTGCATTGATGGATAATTTTGCACTTATAAAAGGGGTTGAGTAGTTGTTTTTTAAAATATAGGAGCTTTGTATGTACCAGGTTCTCAAGTTGTCTGTGTGTATAGCAAGGTATAAAACATTGAGAAGTTATTAGATGTAAGTTGCAGGTATGAGGATTAGTTCTGTTTTGCAATACACATTATTTTGTATGTTCTAAACAGACTTAAATAATTAATAGCTGGGAGCAGACACAAAGGCTCTTTTGCTTGGGTTTGATTAGATACGCTCAGCTGCTGAAGCCCTTAGGGATACAAACTTGAAACATGTTTCCTTTGGGAGAAACTGTTCTGCAGGCGCGGGTGTTGGGAGATGACAGCCAGAGTGCCCTGCCGTGCTTTGTGCGTTTAGCCGATTCTCGTCAGACTGCCATGCATTATAACAACTGGTTTTGGCTCTCGTTCTTACTGGTGTGTGGTGGCAGCTACGCTTTCTCCAATGCATGGTCTGTGATTGCTTGTTATTTTATTACTTCCTTCGCTTACCTGCTGTTTTGGCCAAGAGGGAGGCCGGGAGCCCCCTTTATGGTTTGCACAGCGGCTTCCCAGCAGGGAGCTCGGGCAGGGTATCTAGCCAACCCAGTTTGCGCAGAGGGAGTTATTTGGAAAAGGGGTGGATTCTCACTATGGTGGAAGGAGGCAGAGGAGGAGTGTTTGCTAACAACCCCTGATGAGATCTGAAGTTCTTCAGTGGCACCGATTCTGCTGAGACATGTTTTATCTGGTCTGTAAAGGGGGTACCTGCTCAGGCTGCTGAATTAAAATGCAGTGTGAGGTGTGACTTAACCCACCTGGAAAGGGATGTGGGTGCTCAGCACTGCCTTCACAGCTGGTTTGAGTTTGGAGGTCAGCTGCGTGCAACTCCTCTCAAGCAGCTATAACATACACTCTGTGGCTCGTATGCCCAGCATTTTGCAGATGGAGAGGTTCTTTGGGGAAAGGCAGGAAAAGCAGAAGTGCTTTCAGCACTTTTTCCTCTCCAGTACCTCCCAGTGTTTTCTATATTGCAGAGGCTATGACCCATAGGAATGTCCAGTGCCCAAAACACCCTGTAGTTCATACCACTGTTGCTCCACAAAAGAGGAGTGGGCTTTGAAAGCTTTTCATACATTAGCTAATGTCCTGCCAGCCTTTGCCCTCAGTCAGTAAGAACACTGCTCCCTGTTTGCTATCCCCATGGGCCACCAAAACCCATGGTGTATGACTAGCAGAGCACCATGAGGTGCAGGGGGTCGGAGCACTGGACATTAGTTATCCCCAGTTTGTTGGATTGCTTTTTCATAAGGCCAAACACACAGGCATTACCGGGAAGGAAAACATCTCTTAGTGTTGCCCACAGATAGCAGCTTAGAGCTACATAACTGATACAGCTGTATACTTCAGTAGTGTTATTCTAAGCATTTTTTTTTTTTTACAGAGCCATTCAAATAGATGTGTCCTTAGCAATAGAGCCCACGAATGTAGAATGCATATCGTGAGTGACTCTGCAGGAATAAATATAAGCAAGAGAAATCATATAGCTCCATCAGAAAAAAAAAAAACAGAACAGGATCCTTAATGTGCTTTGGTCAATATCTTTCCCTGTATCAATGTAAGCTCGTTAAAAGAAGATACTGCAGACTAACTGAGCCATGCTGTATTAGTTCTTGCCAAAGCTTGACATTTTTAATACATTAATAATATGTCTGTAATGTAATGGAAAACTATTAATCAGAACTGGTTATATGCCAGAAATTTAAGCTATAATTGGCTGCTTCTTGTCAGGAATGTCTGTTGTACACTGCTACACCTGCCTAATGCTCAGATGTCTTGCACTCCTCTGCACTTTTTCTTTGTCAGTGCACTAAATTCGGTCGATGTTATAGTCTATAATTCTGTGTAACGACCATCATTATGACTGGCTTACTTTAATGAGAATTCGTTATATGGGAAGTATTTCAGTGCAGTGTGTTAAGGTGGTGGCTTGCTTCACATTATTTTAGTTCCATGCAGTCCTGTTTGTTAGTGGTTCTTAGTCTCAGCAGTTATAAAAGGTTAGTTACAGGTAACTGAAGAGCTAGCAAGGAAGATGTTGAAAGAAAACAAATCTGTTTTTTCCTGAATATACAGGCTTGTAGTCTAAGGATAATTAAAGTCAGTAACTTCTTATTTGTACACAGAAACATGATATTCACCTACTGTTTATTCCAGCTATGACCTAGCATTCTCCAATATAGAGTGTGTTTTGATTTGTCACAAATTTAAAATAATTTCTCTCTTTTTTTTTTTTTCAGAGTAGTTGTTTCTCTTTTGTATAATAATTGTTCTAAGCTATGGGGTTTTGTTTGGTTGACTCTGGCTTTTTTCTCCCCTGCGAAATAGTAAAATACATTGGACAGGACTAATAGGAAAGACTAGGAGGTGTCTTTAGGATGACATGTAAAGTGTTCTCTGAATTCCTGAATTCCAAGACAATAAGTAAACATTCCCACTGAAAACAAAAAAAAAAGAATGTAAGGTCACTATAAAACCAGTGGTACTACACAGTGCGCTTCTTAGAAAGATTTAATTTAGATATTTCTGCTTTTGTGCAGAAAATTCAGATTTAAACTTAAAGATGTGTGAACTAATTGAGAATTGCTATTGCATGGAAATACAGATATTCTCTGCCTATTCTGATAAAATATGAGAGTTGTATGGTAACACTTGATAAAATGAATATAATGGAAAATTGCATTTACATCCGTACGGCAATTATTGTAAATTACTTCGCTATGGAAACACAATTCAGCCATCTGTTGGCATTTCATAGTGTCTGTAGTTTAACTCAGCTTAAGATGAAGCATTATTTAAATATATGGGGAGGCTGCTTGCAAATAGCTAAGGAGCTCACCAGGTCACATACCACTTCCCATGGTTTTGAGGTATAGAAGGGTTCATAGCACTGAGCATAATTAAAAAAACTAGGGACAAGCAAAGGGGGCTGCAGAGAGTGGTAACTTACAGTTGTTTCTTAACATCTGTCTGATGGGTTTGCTTAGATTTTGTCATCCAGACAAAAAGAATTCAGACGTGCTGCAGCAGCTGGCTGGAATCCTACTCCCGCAGAGAGCCCAGCACCCAGGCTCCCCATCTTCAGATGGCATGGGCTGACACCAGGCACAGGCTGAGAGAAATGAGTTGGAGTTCCTAGCCCTTGTTTCCCCTTTCTGTGATTAGGGTACTTACCCCGGCTTTGCAGTTTCCCTCATTCATAGTTTATATTTTGCCTGTATTTTTTAGGATATGCATATTTTAAGTCATAAGAGCCTAGGTTTTGTACATGTAATAATATAATTTAGGTGGTACAGACCAAGAGAATTTCTATTTGTTTTGCTGAAGAGAGGGAAGGGGATAGATCTGCTGTAAAATAAATGCTGAATTTGCAGGTACCCGCACCCCAAAACCTAGGAAACTAAGATGCAGGAGTGGTAAGCATCCTTATAATAAGCTACAAATAAACCATTATCTTTAGCAGTAGTTTGTCCCCACTGTGATCAGTAAATCACAGTTCAAAGGGGAAAAAAGAAGTGCAAAGCGCTTCCAATGCTAATGAGAAACTTCAAGGAAACAGAAGTGTGTGCTTACAATATCTTTGTTACTTTTCCAAAAGCTCTTTTGGAGCTCACTGAGGTCCTCTTGCCAAGACACCATCTGTACCTGGTAGTCCTGATACCCATCTCTGTGTCACTTTAATAAAAGAGCCTTCCTGCTGCTGCCCCGCAGCACTGGGCTGCATGCTCCCCTGCCTGCCTGCCTACATGATCTGGGCAATAGTCTGAGTTCAGTACATTGCTCTCTGGTTTTGCTATGTTGAAAATACAGTTTTGGAAGCAGAAACTAGTAACTCACCTGGAACATTATAAATCTGTCTTTGTTAAAGAGTAGTTAAATCCTTCATGTCAAAATACTTTTCACTGTGAATCATTCTGGTAGCTTGTTCATGCTAGCGCAACACCTATGGTAAAGGTTATCCATATTACAGCAATTTGCTTTATATTGCATCAAACCTCCAGAATGTCAACATATCATATATTTTGTAATGCATTGATTCTTGGACAATAACTCTAATTTTTATTGTTTCTAAAAGGGTGCTGGTGCCAGAAAAAAAGAATGATTGATGGGAAACAGACACCAGCCTGCAGACACTCATCCTTTTTCTTCAGATACTGATTTATCAGTGTGTCTGGGCATCCCCTGCAAGCCCTGAACACGGAGGATCACTCAGGGTTATCGACAGTGTAGCGGAAGACCTGCAGCTTCACAAATTATTATCTGCTATTGGACATCTTTTACAAGAAGCCCTGACAGATAAGTTATAAGACAAAGGACAATCACTGCATTGCTGCGAAAGGTTGTCATCGCGGTCTGGGTGGCTCCTACCAAAGTCTTCAACTTAGCGAAGCAAACACCCGATCCTAATGCTTCACACTTGAGTTGGAACCTATTTTATAAAATATATACATGTATATGTAAACGTATGTATCATCTATAGACTGCACAGACGCCAGTACTGAACATCCTTACGAAGGTGACCTAAAAGGATTTAGAAATGTATTTGTCAAGATTCCTGTCACTTCACGCCCTCTGGGTTACCGTATCCTCCGTGATGCAGCACTACCCTTCCGTGTGGGGACACTATGACGTGTGTAAGACTCAGATTTACACAGAAGAAGGAAAAGTATGGGATTACATGGCCTGCCAGCCGGAAGCCAGGGACATGATCAAATACGTAAAAGTGACTCTGGATCCCCCAGACATAACATGTGGAGATCCTCCTGAGACTTTCTGTGCAATGGTAAGGCGTTCTTTTAATTTTGCTTAATTAGTGGGTATATATTTGTGATAGATGGCTTCAAAACGGAAGCCCTAGAGTGCACATGTAATTATCCAAGAAAATCTACATCGTGTTCCGAATGTGAAACGTTCTGCTGAGCAAAACGCAGAGCAGTACATTAAGCTGGGCAATGAGGTGTTCTACTTATGGGGACCTAACTTGACTTCATCTAAATTTGATATCTCTTTAGGCCAACTTTTAATAACTCGAAAGCAAGCAGCATAAAACTCCTAGTGCGCTAACCTATAACTGGGGTGCGTTTGATTGGACCACAAAAGACTTGAATTGGTTCTAATACAAATCACCTTAAAGCATTATAATGTGGTGTAATATTCAGCATAATTTCCAAACTGTTAGAAACTCAAACTACAGAAGCTTAAATAGTGGTGACGGGAACTGGTCTGGTGAAACTTTTCCAGCAAGCCCATGCAGCCACGGGCAGCACTGCTGGAGCATTGCTACTGCACACAGCAGGTGTGTACCAGCAGATCCATACCTGCTTGTATGGACACTGCACCAAGAAACACCTTCAGGCAGGGTCCAGCTCTGCCAGCTACTCACAGCTTTCTTCTTTAACTCAAAATGTAAGCGTTCAAGACAACTAAATAAACAAAGCCAAGGTACTTAATTTACATGCTCCTAAAATTAAAGAACAGGTTTGGAAATGTTGGGCTTGGTAAATAATTGTACAGGTATGAGAAATCAGGCAGACATTGTATATATCAATCTTTTAAAGCTGTGCTGCTCGCAAGATTGTGCTGTAAGAGGTCATTGAAGTTAAAATCTTCAACATGTTCATAACTTGTTTCTTCTCACTAACATAGAGAAATTATTTTCTTTGCCATGGAATGTTTCTGCGAAATACTGAGTGGAAAATACAGTATCCTTTAACTAGAAAATTTGTGTTTGAGGTGCTTAACATATGTACTTAGATCTACTAATAAAGTACTGGAAGCTTACATCACATTACCTACATAATTTGGAATTGAAAACCCAGCGAGTTCTGGTAAGTGAAGTTACCATAATTGAGAAGAGGCTACAAGACATTAATTTGCCTGCGTACGAATCATCATTGCTGTGTGACAGCATCCCCACAGGAAGGAAATTGGCTTTTAAATGCCTTATGGCATCATTTTTAACCACTACTCTTCTGTAAGGAGTTCAGGTCTGACCACACATACATTTAGGGCATTATGTGCATGCATGCAGCTGCTTCCCACGAACATTAATAGCCACGTGATAAATTGTGGAGCCACGTGAATAAATTATATTCACTGTGAACCTTTGACAGCACCACTTGCTCTCTGCTCTGTAATCCATCTCTGCTGACGTGGCTTTGACACTCTAAACCTCAGAGCAGCTTCAAGCAGCCACTGTTTAAAAACAAATAAAAGCAACGTACCCCATGTAATATGGTCTTTTTTCTGTATCTTGGACTGTATTTTCTCCCTCAGAATAGCAACAGCTGTGATTTAGCCCTCAACCAGTGATGTTTAGTAACTCATCATGTACTGAATAAGAAAAGTTGTTCTTAGTGCAAAAGAAACCAGCAAAATTTTTTTCTTCCTTTTAGCGCAGATAAACACTGAAGCAGTAATTTTTTAAGTTTCTGAAGGCCTTGGTTATCAGCCTTGTCTCTAGTCAGAATAATGATTTTAAACAAAAGGCATTTTAAAAACCAAATAAAATGGTGTCAGACCTCCCCTGAAAATGTTTGACCTAGCAAGGTCCCTAATGCTGTGATGGGGGATGGAAATTTGCATGAAATGACCTGAGGTTACAGCTGTACCTGGCTTGCTGCTTAAGCCCTTAAGATGCAGAAGGCCACCAGAATCCTGACACAAGAACTAGAGAAAGCGGAAGAACTGGGGAGAAGGACAGTGCTCATGAGTATCTGTATTTAGTGATGTGAATGTAGAGTGATTAACTCCTACATGATAAGCTGTTGTATTTGCTTTAAGTATAGATGTATATTGTGCATAAACACTATATTCAGATATGCATTGTTAATTAGGAAATCGGTAATTAGGAAAGTGACAGAAATGCTTGATGTTCCTGAAGTACTGCACAGCGGCAGAGCACTCTCATTCCTAAAAATGCTTTATGTCTATCTCTACTTCTGTGTGTAGAAATTACATTTTTCCTTCCAAATGAGGTTTTACATATTTTTAGGGAAGAGCCTTTGGCATTTCCTAGTGAGATCTTTTATTTTTGTGCTTATTTTTGTCTTTAGACATTTAGTTAAGAAGATAGCAACGACATACTTGGAGAAGCTGGGCAGCGAAAAAGAGTGCATTCCTGTTAGGCATGTTCTTGCACTATAAAAAAATCCCAGGATTAAATGACAGAGATCCAAAGGTTTCTTCTCAGCATGACAAAGTGCTGAACTGACTTATATAAATGCTTGAGTTTATTGTTGTGAGTATTGGATTTTTTCATGCTAAACATGTGTACCAGTGTTTTGTTATTGAAATCAGGTTAACAAGATCAGGGCCCTTTCAGATATCATAACAATAAGGTACCAAAGAGCTGAGACTGCTTCTGCAGGAAGAGGAGGAGGAGGTTGACACAGCCTTTCATCAGGCATGGTAATTTTCTGTCCACTACTACTATGTGGACTAAGATACTAGCTGTTGAATTTGTGTCAGCTATTAGTGTAGTGTAGAATATACCCCTGAAACACAAAGAGAATGAGAGTCCCAAGTCCTGCTGGGAGATTATGGTAAAATCTAAAGCAGTCTGTGAGAAGGTGATGGTAATAGTTTGGAATAACGCACAATGTAATCATGCATTGCAATGCATACATGCATACAGTAGAGATGAGATGGGCAGTAAAATTTGCCTCCTACTTACTTCTGTATATTCCCTATGGAATTAAATGTTCTTATGAGTCCATTATGAATATTTTACTCCGTGAGCTTGTTTAGTTGACAGACCAGATAATGAAGTTTTGTACATTCAGATTTGTTGCAAAAAGCAACACTATTCTAGTGGTAGTTAAACCTAGCATGTGGCAGCTCACCACTTGTAAGTACCTTTGGGTCATCCTTCCAGGACAGCATCCATAGGTATTACAGGGAACATGTAGCTGGAAAACTATCCAACAATAGCTTCTATGCAATCTATTCTGAATATAACATAGTTTCTGGTGACATTCAATATTGAACTCATGAGATTATTCTGAAATCTCAAACCCCTGGAAACCTACAATTATGTGAGAGTTTCAGCTTTCATTTAAGCATCATCTTAGTCCTTCCGGTTGCAGAGAAAAGTTTGAAATGAAACCAAGAAACTCCAAAAGCCAAATAAGTAGCCCTCCAAATTATTTTGCGTTTAAAATCTCATCATCATTTTAGAAGTCACTCAGGCTTTTTAGGGCTTGGTAAAGGATCTAGCTTGAGAGGAGAGATGCAGGGAAGAAACATATAAGCAAATGAGTGTCTTAGAGCAGTCAGCATAGCAGTTTCTGGCCATGGAGTTGCTCACGTCTGTAAGGAGGACATGACAGCATCCTTCCCCAACAGGTAGTACTGCTGCCTGTGGAATAACCAGCCCCTGACAGAGGGGCTTGACTGGTCATCTCTGGGTTCCCTGTATGTTTTAAAGCAGTCCCTAGCTACATAGAGTGAGGCATACACACCGGCAGAAAATGCATGTCTGCTTTCTGTGGCATTTCTTCAAGGAAATTTGGCTGTCCCAGAGTTGGACTGGATGATCACGGCATTTGAGCCAGCATGACCATTTCTGTGAGTTTGTAATTCATGAACTTTAAGCATTTGGCAGTGTAAGAGCGTATCTGGCACCATATGCTTACACTTAGTTGGCCTGGGAGGAGAAGGAAGGGGAAGGAGAAGAGAGAAGAGAAAGAAGCTACTTAATGTTTTCCAAACTGCAGAATTCACTTTACAGAGATAGTGTAAGCAAATTTTTCAGTACCCTAGGGATGCTGGTTCTTACGGCCTGCAGCATTTCAGTTTACAAAACATATCTGCCTTAAATCCCAGGGAGTAACTAACAGTGATATCTTCTACTTCCCTCTTTGTAAGCACTTGTTACAATTTCACAAAACTCTGTCCAGTTATAGAATGAAATAAGTCTGACTTTTAAAGACTGCCACTATCTTGTGCCCTTGAAGAACAGTGCATAGGTGACTTCTGACTTCTTTATTTCTAAAACATAGCAATCCTACCACCCCAAAGTCGCCCTTGCATGCGCTGGCCCCTGTGCTGAAATCCAGGCTTAGCATAGGGTTTGCATCCAAACCTTAGCCAGGATTACTGTAAAAATTCACCACCAAGTTAACCAGGAGACTCCTAGTGGCTATTGCTGTAATTGGCAAACTGAGATGAATTTACCTTACCAAGCTGTGTTTGTGGCTAAAACAGCTACGTAAAAATACAATTTTCTGCTCATGTTTAGACCAGCTATCATAACACCATTCCACATCCCAGTGGATAAAAAATGGTGAAATTATCGTTAATTATCCATTGCCTGCAGCTAATTTTCTTCTAGGTTAAATAGAAGCTCAAAAAGCAGCCTACAGACAGGAGTCCTTTGCATTTGTACAATTTATAGAGCAGAAATGCTGATGACAATAGAAATTTGAGCCCTTGAGTGCTACTCTGTATTTCATAGCCAAATCAAAACTAAATTAAGAAATAAAGATTATTAAAAAGTCTTCTGTGCATGTAATTCTTGCATAATATTATGAGGTGGACATTAAATTCTTCCCTCCAAGACTTTCAGAATCATTAATATATGCTTAATTACAAATAGGCTCATATTGCTTAAAAGAAGGAAAATGCTCCATAGTGTAGTTGGTGATACCATTATTATGTTTACTGAAATAAATAAATGATCAGATATTCTTCTGAGTAACATATAAATCAAAAATGAGAAATAAAAATGTATTTTTGGAAGCATTTTGGCATGCGTACATGCACTGTTGGGCAAGACATTTG